GCTGGACTCCCATGTAGTTGACTGTGGTTCAAGTCCTGGACCTGGTGGCTTAAGCTCACGCCAGGTGTGTGTGTATGCATGCCCAAGATTCCAAGAAGAGAATGGAGGACAAGGGATTGTGGTGTGGCCATACCCCCTAGGGGGGTGATTGATTTCTCGCTTTCTGTCTCTCATCTCTCTCTGTCTTTCTGGCGAGCACATGCACCCTACAGTAAAAAACTCTCAAAAAAAAAAATCTATACTATATAAACTTTTTTAAAGAATTACATTTTTATTTAACTATTTATTTACTCATTCATTTTAATTTGACCAAAGAGGGAGAGAGTGAGAGCAAGAGCAAGAGTGAGAGCAAGAGAGAAAGAAAGAGAGAAAGCAAATCACCAGGTCTGGGACTTGAACCGCAGTTAGCAATGTGGGAGTCCAGAACCCTTAACCACCACTCCACCTGTCAGTCTCAAGTCTATACTATATAAATCATTATTTCAAAGGTCAGTCTGGTTGGTAGCTTTCAGTAGAAATGTCATAAATAGGAGACGTTCACTTGTCTTCATTTGCTCTGACCAATATTGAGTCATAAAATGTGTAACTAAACATTTTGTTTGATTTTATGCTAATTTTTCATTATTAACTAGGATATACTTGTTGATAAATAAAAAGTTCTATTTTTCAGTGTTTTATGTTTTAATAGATTTTTTGTTTGTTTGTTTGTTTTGCCTTAGGGTACAGGTACTCACCAGAGAGAGACAGAGACAGAGAGAGTTAGAGGGAAAGTAAGAAATCACCTCTTCAGGGGGGCTGGCCATGCTGCAATCCCTGCCTTCCATTCTCCTTCTGGAATCTTAGGCATGCATGCACACACAAGCCCAGTGTAAGTTTCAAGCCATTGGGTCTGGGACTTGAACCATGATCAACCATGTGGAAGTTCAGTGGTATAACTGCTATGCCATCGGCTGGTCTCTCCAGTACTTAAATTTAAGACTTAAGAATCAAAATGTAATTTTTAAAGTTAACATATTTTTGAGGAGAAAATGTCATGTTAAATAGCAATCAAGAGAGATGGCTAATCAGAGACCTTGTACTAAACATACAGTTTGAGAAAAAGTTTCACAAAAAATGTGTATACCATTTTTGCTCTGTGTGTGCATGTGTGTGTGTGTGTGTGTGTGTGTATGTACACCTATACATTGCCCTCCTCCAATCCTTCCCATCCTTTGGAAATGTTTCACTTTAGTTGTGAGATTTCTAAAACAAAAATAATTCCATCTTATACTATTAGGTGAACGCTTTAAATTTCCATCCGAATTTTTCACAGACTTAAAAGATCACCCCTATGTTATTTATACTTTATATTGTACATATATATATTAATATATAAAATTTAAAATATTGATATCATTTAAACCAATTTCAATTTGATTTGTAGATAATTTTGCTGCAATTTACAACCTATGGATTGCAAGGTGAATTTTATTAACCATAAACTATTAACATAAAGTTATGTTATTCATATACATTCAAATAGATGTGTTTTATATTCATATATATGTAAACACTGCTTTAGTAAAAATAAACTCAGTAAGTTCATTAGTAAACTATTCATATTAATTAATTTTAGAAAAGATTATGATTTATTGAGCAAAAGATAAAGAAAAACCTTGCATATTTTACTTCTAACTTTTTATGAAATAGAATTATCTTGTATCAGGAAGATGCATACAATTAAAAAACTCGATTCTGGGAAAAAAACATGAAAAAATGTTTAACATGTCTATCATTTATTTAAGTGCTATTTACTAAGTCCTCCCTCTGAAGTTAAGGTTAAAATCATTGATTTAACCTTTGGATTCACAGAATCACCATCACATGGAGACTTGCATGTGTCTTTGATTTCTACTGAAACTGAAGCACACAATGTCCTGGAAAAGCCCATTACATTGAATAATGGAACATTTGTCATCTGTTTAAAACCCAAAACCTAATTTATTTTTCTGAAGACTTCATTGTACCACATACCCCAACTAGAAGATGATATAATTTCATGGTATTTCATGAGACAAGTGAAATTTGACTAGTTTTGTAGAGGGAAATAAAGAGTTATGCACCAATTTTAAAGAGAAGCATTTTAACATGTAGCTATATTACATGTGTTTAAGGAAGGCAAAAAGTATCTCTGAGTGAAAGTTTCCTGAGGATAATTTCTATGTGACTACTGAGATTTACAGAGTTCTCACATTTTCTTCCCCCACAAGGATTCTAAATCAGATTGGTTCAGAGGAAACGCCAGCATACCCTATTTTTCTAATATTATCACTTCTCCAGATGGTCCTGAGCACATCTATTCAATTTCTTTTTCCTAGAAAGTAAAGAGGTATCTTATTAGATTAGGTTTGCACATCCGGTGCAAAAGTTGCCTTCTTGTTTTACTTTTTTTTTTCTTTCTCATTTCAGGTATCAAATCTCTTTTATCTCCTACCAGGCAAGATGACAAGTACCAAGTCAGCACAGTGATTGCCTGAAACTTCATCTTGGCAACCTGAGCAATGAGAGAGTTAATGGTGGATCTTTGAAAACAAGTGACCATGGGAAATTAAGGTTGGCAGGGATTTAATTCTTCATGAATCACGCTGGAATATTTTTAAGGGCAATGCAGTTGGTGTTTTAACTATGTTTGACATCTAATTAAGAAGAAACAAGAAGTAGCTCAAAAAAAAAATAATAATCCCTATTACAGTTTAGGAGTAAAGTACTGACAATTGGCTACCAGGCATTTGCTTTGGTAAAACAAGTATACATGTAGAGCCATAAAGGTAATGACAGGGCAATAAAATGACAGAAGAACAATTGCTTGGGTCATTCCTCTTATCCTTCTTTCTGTTGTTCACTTCACAGTTTATTTTACCAAACTGCCAAGTTTTAGGTGTATCATTGGAATTGTTGTGTGGATGTAGTGTTTGATTTAAAAAACAAGGATGCCATTGCTAAAAAAAGGCTTATAGAGACAGTGTCAGATGTATGTCCATACATCTTGCCAATATATTTATATATAGCTTGCTTCATCAGACAAGTTGAAAGCATGTGTGCACAACAAAGGGGAAATGCTATTTTTTTAGTGCATAGATAGGATGGGTGCTTCCCTCTCGAATGTAGAATGATTTTTTACTATAAAATTCTTGCACAGTTAAAACAAAGCATAATATTCAATTGTTTGTCATATTTATAATGTATCTAGCATTTAGAGAAGTAAATTCAGTAGATTTAAAAAAATGTCTATCATAATTTCAAACTTGTTCATATAAAATTATAGCATGTAGACATTCACATCTTTGAAAACTAAAGTGGTATGTAAAACTTACTCAGAAAGAATATAAAGTTGAGTAAGGTAGACCATAAATCTAAGTATTATTTGATGGTACCTTCTCAAGGAGTGAAGATAGAAAGCAAAACTGATAAAAACACAGATGTCATAATATCATATACTATGGAAATAATTTAAAGACAGCTACCTAATAGAAACATGATCTTTAAATATTACACTGTACCTTTTATGATTATATACTTGTAATTAAAATAAGTAAATACTTGTATAATAAATAAAATTGCAATTCTGTTTTTAATGTTGGAAATCTATTTCTAATTTGATACCCAAAAAACTATAATGTGAAAAATAAATGTTTTCCAATTCAAAGTATTAACTTCAAATAAACACATTTAATAGGTGTTTAATTTTCCATGCCAAAGTGTGAAAATTATATCTCTCTTTCCTATTTGAGATCCTCATTCACACCAGAGTATTTCAGAAAGAGATGTTTCCCAGAGTGTGAAAATTAAAGAATATGTTTCTTGGCATAAGAGCAATGTACATGGACAGACATCTCTACAGATAGATTTTTTTTTAACCTTATAGATTAAAAACAGGGGATAATTGAAGCTTCTTATTACCCCACCCCCAATTCTAGAAATTTGAGAGAATCGTAAGAAATCAACACCTTAAAGTATAAAACTCATTTAGTTAAAACAGTTTAATTTTCTACTCCATCCTAATAATACTTGAGTTATTTGGATGTTTTCTGTGTCTAAAAGTTAAATGCATCATTTTGGAATCTGTATTAGTATTACTTTACACATACATATATATGTGTATAATCTAGCTAAACAAATGTAGAACAAATATTTTCTTAAAAATCCTCATTAAAAAACAAGCACCTACATTTAGCAGTAACTAACAAAAGATGTGATAAAGCTGGTTTTTTTTTCCTTTGTTAAATTTGTACTTTTTTAAAAGAGAAGTTCACACAACTAGCTATGCAGCAAGAAAGTAATGTCTCTTCATTTCTCACTGAAGTACATATGGAATTAAAAACATTATATTTCAAAGGATTTAGCTTTACACCAATTAGCCAAATACACAGTCTTTTGTACAATCATAACACACTGTAGAAAAACTAGTCTGTTCTCTCCAGTTTATATTCTCTTGGCAAACCATGATCTACTGCTTATGTTAAGCATCTGATTGTCAGATTCGAACAAACTGAATATTCATGATGATGATTAACCATTTAGTGTCTAAAACTAAGAACATACAACTCATCATAATTATTATAGGTGAGGCATGCACAACTACAAAGAGATGATTTTTGCATTAGTATTTTTTGGAAAATATTTAAAAAGGAGAAAAGTCAGAAATATTAACAGAACCTAGATAGGAACATAAGATATACAGATCAGCATGTACCGGGCATGCAGCTCTTTTCTGCAAATGTGATTAAATGTTCTTTGTTTGCATTTAAATTGTCATATATCAAACAGAAGACATGCTTTGGGAGGAAAAAAAAAAGTGTTGAAATCATTTCAGAAAGATGCACATAATCATATAGGTTTCCCAGGTTAAACTAAAGGTTTCAAGGTTTGTAATGGGAGGGAGTTCAAGGACTGGGGAGTGGGGGTGGGGGTGAGGGGGGGCATTAAAAAGCTAATCAAATATAAGAAAAATAAAGATTTACCTTTGTAGGATAATTTCAGCCTTGGCACATTGTTCTTCCCATTTAGATAGTTTGCTCTTGCTGTAAGTAATACTCCCCAGAAAAAGAGAATCCTAGTCAACCAGCCCATGCTGCAGACGCTGTAGGTCCCTATGCTGTTTCAGTCTTCCTTCTTGTATTGTGCGGCCAGAGAAGTTCAAACAATCTGGAAACTGGAGGTAACAGGTGATTTAGGTCAGTTTCATTCATAAATGCAGACAATCAGGACCTCATGGCAACACTAACACCTCTTCTTCTGTAACAGTCACTGAAGCACAGAAACTTCAAACCGTCCAAAAAAAAAAAAAAAAAAAAGGATCGAGCCAGGCACCGGATAATGAGGCACAACTGTTGTGTGGAAAGAAAAAAAATTAACAAGGGCTGCTGCAGTGGTGCTTAAGAAGCAGTTCCTTTTATCTACGCTCCTCTGATAGCCAGTGGCGGACTCTAATCCTGCTCTCTGCTTCATTCGGCTCCGGGGAAGCAGAATGAAAGGGAAACAGAGAAAGAGAGAGAGAGAGAAACCGTGAGCAGCGCGGACTTTTCCTGTACACATGTAGGGAGAGATGACACAAGATCCCACAGACAGGTTTTCCCAACACTCACTAGACTGGCTGACAATGGGAGAACAGGCGAGCTCAACCCACTCCCCTTCCCTCCTGTCACACAACACATGCAAAAAACATCTCGTGGAGATTAGAGCCGGGAGCAGAACCCTCCAGCGTGCCTGTGAAAGGCATGTAGCTATAAATTTACTTCCCAAGGCGAGCGTTGTTTTATAGCCATTTTTGGGGTGCAATTTTGATTTAAAAAATCTGAATTCTGCTACCTACATAATTTACAATGCATGCTCATTACAATCCTGCAGAACTTGTGCAGTGTATGTGTGCGTGTGTATATGTCCTTCTCAACGATATAACTTTAACCACTGAAGGTTTTAAAGCCTTGTTAGAGATCATTCCCTCCTCCCTACAAAACCCCCTAGGCTCAGCCACCCTTCCCCCGCCCCACTGCAATTTCAGCGGAGAAATTCCTAGTAAAGCCCATTTCAACAATCAGTTCAAGACAAATATAGGTCCACTGGGAATTATAAATTACAACAGGGGATTCTCAAAAGGATATTCAGAATTTAAAAACATCTATGGTTTTCCAGCTTCTGGAATGCTCTGGCTAACATTTTTAATGCATCAAATCTCATTAATTAAAGCCACTTCCTTAGTTTTGGTTTAAAGGGCAGAAGAAGATGACAAAGTTCACAAAAGTCCCTGCTGAGTGTCAAGAACCAACATAAAAAAAACTATCTGTGTCTTCATAAGCTGGTGAAGGGTTACTAAATTTTCTCTGGGATACGTATGTGTGTATCCAGGTGGTCATACAAACATCATTAGTTCTTTCCTAAACAGGCATGTTGTCTGTGATGTCTAAATTCTTTCTTCTAATTTTCTTTCAATTTCCCCAAAGGTGGTATCTTTAAAAGCTATTTTGGGAGGTGCTATACAAAAGTTAACAAGACAGAACATTCCCTGCTTTACTCCCCAACTCTCTCTCTTGTAGCCCTCCTCCCCCCTTCTCCTCCTCAACCCAGCATTACTTGAAACACAGAAGAGAAAACTCAACTTCATTAATAAGGAAATTTCTTGGCTGAAAGGGAAGGGTGAGTCTTACAATTAAAAACATAAACACTTACTGAAAGTGGCTTAGTATTCTCATAAAAAAAATGATCTAAGCATTGTCACTATAGCTTTCATCACTTAATGTCTACAGACCAATAGAAAAGGAGCAGCGGCCACCTCCCCCTCCCTCTCTTTTTCTCTTTCTTTTAACATGTGTTTGTGTGAGTGTAGGTGGAGGAGGAGGAGGAAGAGGATAGAGAGGATTTAAAGGGGGCAGAATGGAAGAAGGGGAGGAGGGCTCCTTGCTCTTCTTCACTAGATTGATTCGTCAAACAGCTCTCATTGTATCTGTCAGTTTCCGTAAGCCTATTGATCAGTCAGTATTGTTAAGAAAATAAAATCCAAAAATAATGTTGATTTTTCTGATTCCCACACTTGTTATCCTGAGCACTTTTCATGCTCTAGGCAATGGATTAAGGCTACAAATGACAAGAGGCTTGTCTGTCTTCCATGGATTACTCTCTATAGACATTCATTCTACAGAGGAATTCGTGTCATTTTAGAATTATTTTAAGGATTGGACAAATAAATGATCCGATTGGAGCATCACATATGATTAAATACTTTAAATAGTTTCACCAGTTTCATTAATATATATTTTAAATATCTTAATATATATATATGTATATATATACTTTTACTCTAGATCTTGTTACTTAGCATAGGAGAATAAGTTTATTTTTGTCCAAACTATACAGGATAAGCACATTTAGAAGTGTATCCATTTCACCGGTGTAATGTCAAATCCTGAAACTTTCTGTTGTGTTCCAGGAAAAATAATGGCTGTAAACAAATTTTAATGAAGAGGGTCAGAACTGACTCCTGAGGAAGAAAAACATTCAATCTGGATTTCGAACCACAAAAATCAGGACACCATTAATTTATTTTGTAAAACAAATCATTTAAATTAATGTTGATGCCTGGGATTTGGTAGCACAGACAGCCCTATGTTTATATATGTATACATACACATTATTTTGAAAAATCTTTGATATGTTTATATTTGATACTGTTTTACCCTCCGAATGTTTTAGGATCTTTGTGTCTTTTCAGTGGATTGAGAGTTTAATAGAGTCACATTTACATTTGCTTTTCATTTTTTTATTAAAAAAGTAAACAATTTTATTAAAAAATGCTAAGTTAAAGAAAATATAACTGTCTAAGGCTGATTAAATTATAAAATTATAGAAAAGCCCAGTTACATACCTAGCTATTTTAATGGAAATTTAAAAGGAAATTTAAAAAAATGCTTACATGCTTGAAAAAGGCTTTGAAAAGTATTCGTGATCTTACATTTCTTTTGCTTTCTCATTAGACTTTAGTCAGTATTAAATTTGCTTATTTATTAATTTATTTATTTTTAATAATCCCCAAACACGTGGGAGGCTATCAAGGTTATACTTATTTCTCAACTGAGGTAGAAGCTAGGTAAGGGTGGATCTGCTCAGGTACATATTAAAACCAAGTAGAATCTGCTACATGTGTGAAATGTAGACTTTGATCCACTCCTCCAAGTATCACTTCTTTCTCTAAGAAGACCTGGCATGATAAAGCCTGCTATATTCCTCGCCATAGCTATTGAAATCACTGCAGCATTTGCGACATTTTTAAAGTCAAAAATATTATATTGACCATTTAATGTTAAATTTTAGTTAACACATAAGTGACATATTCTATTTGCTTCTTCCTCAAAGCACGTATCTTCAAATCCACAATCTATTATATATCAAGTATAATTAACTCTATTTGCAACTTAGTTCCTACTATCTTCTAAAATTTCAAGTTTTCTCATATCAATAAATCCTGCCATAGTGTCAGATTTGAGCAGGCACTTAACATAATGGTCATGTTCTACAAAAGGTCTTCCAAAAGTTAGTGAAAAATATGCCTTATGACAAAATAATGCATAGATTTTAAAAATGTTTTTGCACTAAAGTAAACTTACTTTAATTCCATTTTCTTCACAGTGTTTTTGAAGTACTCATAGAGGTTGCTGCCAAAAGTAACAATTGCTTTTAATCTCATCCCATTCTGTTCTGAGATGGATTATTATCTAGAGTGGCAACTTTCTGGGTGGTGTGCTTGATTTTCTAGAGAAACAATACTTCCAACTTTAAAACAAGTATTAAAAAAGACCCATATAATCATAGAAGATACATATTAAAATATTTCTCCACCGGGGATATGTTTTTGACCTTTTCACACATTGGATGAGACTAATGTGTATATTTTTAGAATGTTCATTTTCTACATTTTATTATTATAAAACAAATTAGACTAGCAAAAGATTAACAAATCACTAGCAGAACTTGTACCAATTTGTGACCAGTACTCTAAGAACCTTTTTAGTTTACAAATACAATGAATTTCTGTGCATAAGAGAGTATAAGGAGAATGTATGTTTTAGATATAGCCAAAAGATTTAGTGTATAAAAAGGAATTGAAGTGGTAGTGTACTTTATTAAGCAAGCTTACCTGTTCCTATGATCTCTCTTTGCTCCATTTTATTATGATTAGGTAGAGGGATTCCCCTAAATTATGTACTACCCACAGAAGTTAAGGGAAATGACTTAGTTAAAATTTCAAATGACTAGGTTAACCAGTTCTCCTAAGATACAACACCAACAAGGAAACCAGTACTGAAAACAAACAAATTCAGTACCCTTCCCAAGGTGTTTTTCAATTGAGTCATGCAAAAAACACAGATTAGTTTCCACCCAGCATATGCTATTTCCTGCTTTTCTTTCTTTTTCTTTTTTCTTCAAGGGAATGTTTCATTAGTATTTGAGAAAGGCGGATGATCAGCAGAATTACAACTAATGTCATAGTCAAACATTTGCCCTTACTCTGACTTCTTATGTAGGAAATTCATTTTTAATGAGGGTTTTTCTGGTACAGGGAATTTGAACCTTCCTCTTTTATTTTTTTTTCTAAAAAGGAATTGTGTGGGTGAAAACATTCTTCAGAAGATCAGAAGACTTTCTATTAATTGATAGAACTAAATAGTTGATGTATTATTTGCTCTAAATGAAAATGATAGTGATTCAAGAATCACTGTGGTCCTCGCTGGGAACTGGGGGTGGCAGGTTAAAAGCAATAGTCAAGAAATTAAGTTAAACTTTTCATAATCTGATCCTTACGAATGCTTTTAGTATTAAGCAATATGCAAAAACATGAGTCCAGTGAAAGAGCTGGTAAAATGGAAAGGGAATTCAATCTCTAGGGAAGCACTAACTCCTCTCCCCTTTCTTTCATAGGCACCCACCCCACCCCCCAACTCCTCAATGAATAGATATTTCAGTAAAACAAGCTCCTCTCTTCTCTGGAATGAACTGTTAACAGTTGGGAGAAAGAAAAAGAAAAAGCAGTTTTCCCCCCGTTTTTTCTTTTGCACCATCAATGTTCATGATATTTTAAGGTAAATAAGGACTCAAGATAAAGGACTCCTTGTTTTTCAAATGAATTGGAGGGGTGTATATTAAATCAATGTAGGGGGAGAAGAGAAACTGACCAAATAGTCACATTTTCTGTAACTGCACATTTTAAGAAGAATCTAGATAATTTAGGCTATCAGAGTGTACAGGGCAAGGCTTTCAGTGATG